TATAGTCTATTACATTTTTTTAACTGCATTTTTTTTTAAGTTGCGTGGAATTCTACTGGACTGATATATCTCCCTTTTTTAACTATTTCCTCCTAGTGGACATTTAGGCTGTTCCCAGTCTTCTGCTCTGACAAATAACACCCCAGTGAACAACATCGAAGGGACAATGACTATCGTAGTCTTTCTGTGGGTCTCCCTGCAGGCCAAATGCTGTGACAGAGACCTTGGCTGGAAGGACAGGATGGTCCACTATCTCTTGGGCTACTGTCCTGTGTTCTGTTTGCCAGAAGGAGAGAGAAACCCCGGGTAACCCAGCCCTTTAAATAGTTGTGTGGATCACTTCTGTGCCCATTCCACGACACAGCCACAGCTGGCTGCTGGGAACTGTGTCCAGTTGGAAGCATGCCCAGAAGAAGGGGGCACAGGGCTGGGCAGACCGCCAGCAATCAACCCCAAGGGAAATCCCGGGACCAGAGCATGCTGGATCAGAGCATTGGTTGTTGTTCAATTGCTAAGTTGTATCCAACTCTTTGTGACCCCTCTCCCCCACAGACTGCAGCACACAAGGCTTCCATGTCCTTCACTATCTCCCAGAGTTTGCTCAAACTCATGTCCACTGAGTCAAGGATGTCATCCAACCATCTCATCCTCCATTGCTACCTTCTCCTCCTGCCTTCAATCTTTCCCAGCATCTTTTCTAATGAGTCGGCTCTTCATATTAATGAGTCGGCTCTTCACATTAGGTAGCCAAAGCACTGGATCTTTGCGCTTTGATCAGCATCAGTCCTTCCAATGAATGTTCAGGGTTGATTTCCTTTAGGATTGACAGGTTTGTTATCCAGGAGACTCTCAAGAGTCTTCTCCAGCCCCACAGTTTGAAAGCATCAATTCTTTGATGCTCAGCCTTCTTTATGCTCCAACTTTCACATCCATACATGACTACTGGAGAAACCATAACTTTGACTATACAGACCTTTGTCAGCAAAGTGACATCTCTGCTTTTTAATATACTATCTAGGTGTGTCACAGCTTTTCTTCCAAGGGGCAAGTGTCGTTTAATTTCACGGTTGCAGTCACTACCCACAGTGATTTGCAGACATGAAAGCACCAAAGGATAGAGACGGGAAAATAGCGAGTTCTTGGTAAAATGTGCTGGATAGACAAGTATCTCTTGAAGCATGAGTTCAAAAGAAAGGCATGAAATTTGGGAACCTTTAACCAGATTCCAGCTCTTAAAGAGAAATCTCAAAAACAAAGCAAAACAAAAAACCCCACAAAACACAAAACAGCCCAGGAAAACACCAAGCATTGGCAAGGAGGTAGAGAAATCAGAATATTTTGTGCACAGTTGGTAGGATTTTAAATGGTCCTTTTGCTACTAAAATAGATGACCATATGATCCAACAATCCCACTTCAGGTATATATTCAAAAGAATTGAAAGCAGGGACTCAGATATTGTTTGTATGTTCTTTGCTGTTTGTTCCCAGCAGTATCATTCACAATAGCTAAGAAATGGAAGCAACCCAGATGTCCATCAGTGCATGAATGGATAAGCAAAATGTGGTGTAAAAATACAAGTAATATTATTCAGCCTTAAAAAAGAAATTCTGACATGTGCCACAGCTTGGATGAATATTTAAATAAAACAAGCCAGTCACGAAAGATAAATACTGTATGATTCTACTTACTTATGGTATCTTAAATAATCAAATTCTTTTTTTTTCCATTTATTTTTATTAGTTAGAAGCTAATTACTTTACAATATTGTAGTGGTTTTTGCCATACATTGACATGAATCAGCCACGGATTTACATGTGTTCCCCATCCTGAACCACCCCCCTCCCACCTCCCTCCCTATCCCATCCCTCTTAAATAATCAAATTCTTAAAAACAAAAAGTGGAATGGTGGTTGCCAAGGGCTGGGGTAGGAGGGAAATGAGCGAGGACTCGTGAGTTGATGTTCAATGGATACAGATTTAGATTTGCAGGATGAAAAAGTTCTGGAGATCTATTTCATAACAATGTAAATATACTTAATACTACTGAGCTGTGCATTTAAAAACAGTTAAGATGGTAAAATTTGCATGTTTTTTACCACAATAAAATTGTATTAATGTACACTTGAAACTAACACAACATTGCAAATCAACTATACTTCAATAAAAAGTTAGTTTTGAAAAAACTTTTTAATGCATTAAAAAAGAAAAAGAGAAGTGTCTGGGATATCTTAGAAATATTCAGTCTCTTTAAATTAAGACTTCCCAGGTGGTGCTAGTGGGAAAGCATCTGCCTGCCAACGCAGAAGACAAAAGAGATGAGGGTTCAAACCCTGAGGCAGGAAGATCCCCTGGAGAAGGGAATGGCAACCCACTCCATCATGCTTCCCTGGAGAATTCCATGGACAGCGGAGCCTGGAGATCTATAGTCCATGGAGTAGCAAAGAGTTGGACATAACTGAGCAACTGAACACACACATCCCTCTCTAACTCAGCTGCTCCGTTTCTTAGCAAGTGGGAGGAGGACTTATACAGTTATTAAACGGTCAACAGTTCAAGGAAGGCTATATTTATATTAGCATAAAATTGAAAACAACTCCAATGTGAGAAATGAAGGCATAGTTAAGGAATGGTGACATTCCCAATCAATGGAAAAATACTACGGACTTTTAAAACAATGCACAAGAAAAAATGCTTACAGAGAATTTATGAACATGAGCAAAGCAAAGTCACAGCTAATTAAAAAAAGAGGAATCAAAGTGTTATGTACCATGTTATGTCAAACCAAAAATGATGGTGGTGCAGTGGGAAAGAATCTGCCTGCCAATGCAAGAGACGCAGGTTTGATCCCTGGATCAGGAAGATCCCCTGGAGGAGGAAATAGCAACCCATTCAGTATTCTTGCCTGGACAAATCCCATGGACAGAGGAGCCTGGCGGGCTACAACCCATAAGGTTGCAAAGAGTCGGACACGACTGGGTGACGGAGCACACTTGCACACCCACAGTCACACACACACACGCGCACACACACACGCACAAACATGGGAAATGACCACAGAATGCACACAGCATAATCCCCATAAAGGGTAACAGGGGAATGCTTTTCTTCCTTTTCTCTTGGCTTCCCTCAGTTTCCAAAAGTTGGTATACAATTTTTTGTCATGACTAACTCCCCCTTTGTGGATAAACAAACTGCAGCACCTTCAGACAATGGAATGTTATTCATCACTACTAAGAAAGGCCCCATTAAGCCCTCAGAAGACAAGGAGGAGTCTGAAAGTCAGATGCTGAGAGAAAGGAGCCAGTCTGAAAAGGTCGCAACTTTTTTACTTGTATGATTCCAACTAGACAACTTTCTGGAAAGGGCAAAAAATGATGGAGATAGTAAAAAAAAAAAAAAAAAAAGAGCGGTTGCCAGGGGTTAGGAAGGTAGGGGTGCAGGACTAGATGGGGGGCCCGGGATATGTTTAGGGCAGAGAAACTATTCTGTATAACCCTGTGATGGTGGCTCCATGCCATTATACATTTGTCCGAAACCCCAGAATGTGCAGCAGGAGTCAGCTCTGCGGGGAGGTGCTGTTGAACAGGTGCAGAGTTTCAGTTTGGGAGACTGATGGTAAGGATGGTTGCACAAGAATGCAAAAGTCCTTTATGTCACGAACTGTGCACTTGAAAATGGCTAGAACGGTCAGGGCTTCCCTGCTGGTCCAGCGGTTAGGACTCAGCCTCCACTGCGGCAGACACAGGTTTGATTCCTGGTCAGGGAACTGAGATCCCACATGCTGTGCAATGTGGCCAAAATAAATACTTTAGTTGTTTTTTTTAAGGGACAGTAAATTCTATGTTATGTGTATTTTACCACAACTGAAGAAAAATTGTGAACCCTGCAAACTCTGGACGTTAGGAATAGTAACTCACCAATTGTAACACACGTGTCACACGAAAGAAGGGGTGTGTAGGGGAGCCTGTGGGGTCCGGAGGTGGGGGCTTAAAAGGGACTGTCTGTACTTTCTGCTCAATTTTTCTGTAAACTGCAAATTGCTCTAAAAAAAAAAAAAAAACTATCCATTAAAAAAAAAAATCCTCTCTTCGCCTTAGCCTGGATTTTGTCAACAGCCGTCTCGCAGGCTGTGTGTCTTCCCAGTGAGTCTGGACAGGCTCGTGCCGGGAGAGCGGGGTCAGCAATGAATCACTCCTTGGGTCGGAGAGGCGACTAGTCTCAGCCTGGCCTTGAGAGCAGACATTTGTCATCCTGGTGGGATGCTACTATCTCCAGGGGCACTCAAGGGTTGGGGGACACTTGTGAGCGTCACCCGCCCTGGGGAGGTCAGCGCTCAGACAGTGTCAGAGCTGAGCTGGCAGGGTGGGGGGATGTTCCCGGATATCCGGCCCAGGGGTGGAGGGACAGAGACCATGAACCCACCACTCCCCTCACTGAGGTTCCAATTCCAGCCTCCAGACCTCCAACACCTCATCTGCAAATGGGACAATAACCTTCTTTTCGGGACAATAATCTTCTTTTGCTCTCCCCCCTGCCAAATCTCCCACGGTCTGTGGGGTACTTGGAGGGGTCCAACCCTGTGTTGGATGCTACATACGTCCTGTCCCTGCTCCACAGGGGAGAAGGCAGGGGCCACAGAGAGGGCTAACGCTCTGCTTCAGGGCACAACTCCCTCCTGATTCGGTGAGACTGGGCATCGGAGCCCTGATGCACTCTGAGGATTGGCTGGAGTGATTTCCAGAGGTTTAAGGTCACCCTGAACCTTCTTCCAGAAAGATCCTGTATCCAATGGCCCTTAGATTAAGGCTGCTTTTTTTTTCCTTGCTCTGTATTTATTGTTTTTAAATAATTTACCATGGTTTAAGTAATTGCATTTATTGTTATAAATAATTTACAAGAAAACAAATCAATGTTCTGGGTGGAACATTTAGACTATACAGATACACAGGAGAGAAGGAAATTAACTCGAGTCACACCACCCAGAAATTGTGAAGGACACCTTTTATGATCCTTTACGTCATTTGGCTCTTTACTCATTAAATAAACTCTTATTACCATGTTCCGGTCAGGTAGTGTCCTAGGCTCTGGGAACACAGTATAACAAATAAAATTGAGGGACTTCCCTGATGGTCTAGTGGTTAAGAATCCGCCTGCTAATCCAGGGGATGTGGGGTTCCATCCCTGGTCTGGGAGGATCCCACCGGCCTTGGGGGCAACTAAGCCCGAGAGCTGCAGATACTGAAGCCCTCGAGCCTACAGCCTGTGCTCTGAAACAGGGAAGCCACCGAGAACAGCAGGCCTCGCATCACTGTCACCCAGGCCAAGCTCACTCTGCTCGCTTCACGACAGGCCAGTGAATCCGAGAGACAAGGTGCTGAGCCAAGGAAGAGGCTTTAAGTGGGGAGCCGGCAGACCGAGACGATGGTAGGCTAGCGCCTCAAAATAACCATCTTTGTGGGGTCTGGATGCCAGGTTCATTTATAGAGCAGAGAGAAAGAGGCAGTGAGGAACTAAAGTCAAAAGGCAGAATAGAGAGGGAGATGCAGTGGGGAATAAAGTGAGAGGGTCTTCAGTCTGGTGACACATCTCCAAGGGAATGTCCAGCCTTCAGAAGGGGTGTGTGAATCTCTTCTATTCACAGGTGGGCAGCGACAAGCGCTCTCTCCATGAGCTGAACAAAGGCACTTTAGTTTAGTTATCCAAGCAGAGGGGGCAGGGTCCCCAGGCAAGCCACTGAGTATGATTATAATAATAAAAGCAAGTCATGGGGAATTCATGTGGAGGTCAGAGTGGAAGCAGGTGTGAGTGGGTCCAGCCAAAGGAGACATGGCTGCCAAAGGGTTTGAGTCCATTGGCAAGTTTGGTCTTGCCTTAGCCATTGCAGGAGGCGTGGTGAACTCTGCCTGTATAGTGTGGATGCTGGGCACAGAGCTGTCATCTTCGACCGGTTCCGGGGAGTGCCGGACATTGTCGTAGGAGAAGGGACTCACTTCCTCATCCCTTGGGTACAGAAACCAATCATCTTTGACTGCCGCTCTCGACCACGTAACATGCCAGTAATCACTGGTAGCAAAGATTTACAGAATGTCAACATCACCCTGCGCATCCTCTTCCGGCCGGTTGCTAATCAGCTTCCTCGCATCTTCACAAGCATTGGAGAGGACTACGATGAGCGCGTGCTGCCGTCCATCACTACAGAGATCCTCAAGTCCGTGGTGGCTCGCTTTGATGCTGGAGAACTGATCACCCAGAGACAGCTGGTCTCCAGCCAGGTGAGCGATGACCTCACAGAGCGAGCAGCGACCTTTGGGCTCCTCTTGGATGACGTATCCTTGACGCATCTGACCTTTGGGAAGGAGTTCACAGAAGCGGTGGAAGCCAAACAGGTGGCTCAGCAGGAAGCAGAGAGGGCCAGATTTGTGGTGGAAAAGGCTGAGCAGCAGAAGAAGGCAGCCGTCATCTCTGCGGAGGGCGACTCCAAGGCGGCGGAGTTGATCGCCAACTCGCTCGCCACTGCAGGCGACGGCCTGATGGAGCTGCGCAAGCTGGAGGCCGCGGAAGACACCGCGTACCAGCTGTCGCGCTCGCGGAACATCACCTACCTGCCTGCCGGGCAGTCGATGCTCCTCCAGCTGCCCCATGAGGCCCACGCCTCCTGGGCCATCTGGACCACAGCCCCGAAGTTGCTCAGCACCACCTTCCTTCTCCTGCCCCAGAAATCACTGTGAAACTTCATCATTGGCTTAAAGTGAAGGAAATAAAAGTAAAATCACTTCAGAAAAAAAAAAAGCAAGTCAAAGAATCAGTTTCCAACGTGGAGTCAGAATTGGCTTCCGCCCTGCAGCAGCACGACTCGAGTGTAGCCCCCGCTTGACCCGGCTAGAAAAAGGCCGTGCTCAGCAACAAAGACCCAGTGCGGCTGAAAATAAATTGAGAAATTTAAACAATAAAATAAACTTTGGTTCCTGACCTCAAGGAGATTTAAATGAAGACACACACCACACACACACACACACACACACACACACACACATATGCACACACACAGTCAGTTTGGTTTGGCTTTGACTAGTTTTCAACATAATGATCCTCAAGAACAGGATGTCTTGGGACATTTCCCCCCCACCCCCCACTTAATGTACTATGAAAATTTCCATGTGATTAAATATAGTTTCACAGAATCATCTAAATGGCTACACAGTGTTCCATTCTGCAAATGTTGCCATCATTAATTTCACCAATCTATTGTTGAACATTTAGTGCTTCAGTGAAAACTTGATCACCGCATCTTTGTGTGCAGCCATGGTTCCTTCTTTAGGCTAACTACATAGAAGAGGACTAGCTGGGGCAAAAGTCATGTCATTATTTATTACCTAAGTCTCCTCCAGAACACAGAACTGCCTTCCTCTCTTTCGGTAGGACAAACGTCCTCCTGCAGCACTGAGCACCGTCAAGTACTCTGAGTTGGTTTTTTTTTTTTTTTCACTTTTTGATGTAAGTTTAAATTTACAGAAAGACTGAAAGAATGGTGCAAAGAAATTCCCCCTTTCCCAGATTTACCCCATTTGTTCATCTTCTCCCTTTTTTCTGAACAATTTGAGAGTAGGTTGCATGTATCATGACCATTTACCCCCATATATTTCACTGTGTGTTTCCTAATAACCTCTTACATAACCACTGGACAATGATAAAAATCAGTAATTTAGCCTTGATACAATGCGGTGCTGTGCTTAGTCGCTCAGTCGTGTCTGACTCTTTGTGACCCCATGGACCATCGCCCGCCAGGCTCCTCTGTCCATGGGGATTCTCCAGGCAAGAACACTGCAGTGGGTTGCCATGCCCTCCTCCAGGGGAATCTCCCCAACCCAAGACAGAACCCAGGTCTCCCACACTGCAGGCAGATCCTTTACCATTTGAGCCATTTCTAACCCATAACCCATATTCAAAGTTACCAATTATTCTAATAATATCCCTCCCATCCAGGATCAATCCAAATGCAGGATTGATTATACATTGGGTTTAGTTGTCATATCTCTGGTCACCTGTAATCTGGAGCACTCTATGTTTAAAAAAAAAATCAGTCAACTCATTCTTGTATATATATCATTTTTCAGTTGCTGTAAGCGGGGCTACTTCTTGTTGTGGTGCAAGGGCGTCTCACTGAAGTGGCTTCTCTTGCTGTGGAGCACAGGCTCTAGCATGTGGGCTCAGCGTTGTGGCTCACGGGCTTAGTTGCCCCAAGGCACAGTGGATCTCCCCAGACCAGGGATCAAGCCCATGTCCCCCTCACTGGCAGGCAGATTCCTAACCACTGGACCACCAGGAAGCACACATTACACATTTTAAATACTTTCGCCAACATGACACATCCCGCTAGTCTCCTGTTGTAATTTTCACGAATTTGATATCTGGTGATGCTGCACACTTCTTCTGGTGTGAGTTGTTTGTCCTTTTCCTTTCATGCATTGCATGGTGCTGCCTCTATGCCTAGGGGTGTCCTTTCTCCCTCATGGATTTATTTGAATGCTTTAGGAATTGGACATGGTCTTTCACAAGCAGCCCCTGGCCTGGAGAAAGAGTAGACCTGCCACCTCCGGCTCCTCCCAGCGCCCTATCCCTGGATGAGTCTTTGGCAAGGGTTTTGAAATAGTGCAGTTGTCTGATTGGAGCGAGGACACTCTATCCATCCTTCTAAACTCTGGGGAGGACGAATGTGATTCCTGTTTGGGTTTGACATTTCCTGTGGGATCTGACCCTCCGCCAGGCTGGGCTCTGTTTCCCAGAGGCCACCTGCTAAGCGTCAGCAGCCCCCAGGGTTGCTATTGATCAATGGTTCCTGGAAACCCAGGCTGCTCTGTGTCCTGGGAAGAACTGTGCGCAATGGAAAGCCCCCCAGGGCGTGCGGCAGGGCCTGGACTCTGACCAGCACCAGGCTGCTCCTGCCCAAGATACACAAGCCCTTAACCCAGCTGAACCCTTTCCTCTCCTGGGAAGAGGGTGAACGCCAAGGCTCATGGACTGAGACATCAGCCAGGGCACCACTGCCCATGCCAGCACCTCTGCAGGGTAGCTCATCACTTACAAATGTTACTCTGTATATGTGTTGTATGTGTGCTGTGCTAAGTTGCTTCAGTGTGTCAGACTCTTTGTGACCCCATGGACTGTAGCCCGCCAGGCTCCTCTGTCCATGGCATTCTCCAGGCAAGAATACTGGAGTGAGTTACCATGCCCTCATCCAGGGGATCCTCCCAATCCAAGGATCGAATCCTAGTTTCTTATGTCTCCTGCATTGGCAGATGGGTTCTTTATCACTAGTGCCACCTGGGAAGCCCTACTTTATATACAGATTTTATTAAATCAGTTATCTCTCTTTTGAGGAGTCATAAAAAATAAACAATAAGAAAAAGAAACTTCAGTATTCATGATCTGACTCTTCTGAATCACATTGCCCCCCTTCTTTCATGTAGTGATTTTTTTAATAAGGGAAATTTTAAACACATAAAAGTTTGAGGAAATAGGATAATGAATCCCCAGGCAATTGTCATCATCTCTGGTCTCACCCACAGCCCCCTCCTGGATTAGTACACAATTGAATTCAAGACATCGTATAATTTCCTCTGTGAACAGTTCAGTTTTTGTCTGCAGAAGATAAGGCCCTTTTGTTTTCCACATCATCCTAATATCATATCATACTTAAAAAATAACAATGACTTCTTAATGCCTTGAATATATCAAGTCAGTGATAAATGTTATTTTTCTATCATTGGTTTGTTCAAATCAGGATCCAAAAGAAGCTTATACATTCATGTCTCTATTTTGTTGATACATCTCTTAGAAGTCTCTCTGTTATCCCATCCTCATTTTTCCCCTTACATTTGTTTGTGGAAGAAACTAGGTCATCTGTTCTGCTGAGATTTTGCATTTTGTATTTTTCTGATTACATTTTACAGTGTCGTTTAACATCCCCCTCTCCCCTATATTTCCAGAAAATTGATAGTTAGAGGGTTTTTTTTTTAACACTCCAGAGAAAGACTGTCTCTCAGATGCCTCTCTTGGTCAATGTGAATTTCTCTTAAAGGGGGTTTGGAAAGCATTAGAAATGACTAAGATGTTGGGATGGTGAGGTGAAGACCCCCCCAGGGTAAAGCCGTTTGGGGTGGACAGGTCCCCCTCTGGCCTCACTGCTCCTTCCTGGTGCTGACTTTCTGGAATCATTTGGGTCAGAAGGCCTCCAGGGTGCATCTCTGATTGGCAGCGATGAGCTTGACCCTGGCTCCTCCAGCCTGAGACCTGAAGGCAGCAATTCACCTGGTACGAGGTGATCCCAGCCCCCAGCACAGCCGCTGCCACACCCTGAACACAATGCCCAGGGGTGGCGGCTGGGAAGCCTGCCTCTTTGCAGATGTCCCAGTAGTGTTTAGAGCCACCTGCCTCCTGGTAACGTTTACTGGCACATTTATTCCCAAGACCCTGAGTATTGCTCCTTCCTTAACTAACCCAAAGAGGGCACCAGCAGGTCTTGTCATGCACAAGTCACAGCTCCTAGAAACATTTCCAGAAGGTTCCAAAGGTTTCTTCCCTTTCATTTTCTTCTTTTTCCTTTTTCCCTTCCTTCTCGCTTCCCACCTGCTTGCTATTCTGTTTTTTTTCTCTCCTCTTTTTAAAAATTAATTTTTGTTGGAGCACAGTTGTTTACAATGTGCTAGAGTCTGCTTACAGCAAAGTGAATCAGTTATGCTCACGTGTACATTGTTTTACATTCTTTTCCCAAACAGGCCATTAGAGAGTATTGAGTAGAGGCCCCTGCGCGGTGCAGGAAGTTCTCATTAGCTATCTAGCCCCTGTTTTATATATAATAGTATGTGTAAATTAATCCCAACCTCCCAGTTTATCGCTCCCCCCACCCCCCTTTAATAATCAACTCAGCCGGTTTTCAGTGCACTAGAGGGAGCTGCTATTTAACAAAGCCTGCAGTGCGGGGCCATCACGTGAAGCTGCGTTGCGTGAAGCAGAGCTGCCTCCAAGGGATCGACCTTAGTACCCACAGAACACAGATAGGCGAGGGAGGAGTTCAAGTCCTGCTTCTGTCATCATGTGGAAGACCTCCCTTTCATCCTCCAGCGGTCCTACATCCTGACTGCCACTCAGCCCCTGTGTGAACTTGGGCAAGTGGCCCGGCCTCCCTGAGCTTTCCTCCTGAGTACTGTGTGTTAGTCGCTCTGTCATGTAAAACTCTTGCGACTCCATGGACTGTAGCCCACCAGGCTCCTCTGTCCATGGGATTCTCCAGGCAAGAATACTGGAGTGGGTTGCCATGCCCTTCTCCAGGGCATCTTCCCGACCCAGGGATTGAACCCAGTTCTCCTTCACTGCAGGCAGATTCTTCACCATCTGAGCTGCCAGAGAAGCCCCAGGAGTACTGTAAGGCAGGTAGCAGATCCCTACATCACAAGATTAAATAAGGTAACGCTCTGAGCAGAGTCCGACGTAAAGAAAATGCTCCACAGCCTTATGATTTATGAAGACAGAAACGGGCTCAGAAACTGTTTTCCCTCTCAGGTCTGAGTATCTGGGAAACGCTAGTTTATTCATGCCTACAACCTGTGAGCGTTCACGGTTGGGGGTGTAGCTTTATTGTGGTTGAAGCTGTATTTCCCCCGTAAAGCGACCTCCTCCTCCCCTGGTGACGCAGACCTAATGGGCCCCTGGGCGGTGGCGCTGATGTTCTGCTGGAGGCAGGAGTGTCTCAGGGCCTGCTCTCCTCGTGGCTCCACAGGCCACACTGGGTCCCCCCTTCCCCCCGCACCCGCACTCCAGCCCTTTCAGCAGCGGAGGGAGGGCTTCTCCGTCGAGGCCCCAACCCAGTGTCTGAAGGACCCTGGGGGTTTCCAGGCAGGCTCAGAGCACCTGGGTGCGGGGTCTTCATGGGCTCCTGTGGGTGGGGAGGAGGGCACGAGTTGGGGCAACAGACGTGACAGCAAACAGGCCTGAGAGCCCAGCCCAGACTTGAATTAAGCGAGAGGAACCGGTCTCTGTGGCAGGATCGCCGCTAGTGGGTTCGGATGTTTTCATTAGGGAAGGAGGAACAGGGCTGAGGAGGCCCTTGTCACGCCTCCAGAGGAACCCTTCCCCCAGTCTCTGTTGGGGCAGGGACCGTCTGAGCCCACCCCATAGGCGAGGTTTGAGGCAGCTTGGAAGGAAGGGTCTTAACTCCAGCTTCCAGAGTCTCCCGTAAACCCGGAGCAGCCTGTCCGCAGGATTCCGGCTTCTCAGGTACTGCTGACCGACCAGCTGGGGCTGGGCTTGGAGAGACTTCACCCTGCTTGAGGCGCAGGTGGTTGGGGCGCAGGAAGGATGCTCATCTTTATACAACGGGAATATCTTCTCCCTTAGAAAAAGATGGCAATAGAGGAGAGGTCATCCTCCCTTCTTCCTTCCAATGGAAGAAACAGTGGCTGAGAATTTTCCATCACAGAGGAAAGCTCTAAATCCTTAAGTTGAGGAAGCACCTCGAGTCTTGAGCAGGGTTAAAATAAATGATCCTACAACTGGAAACACTGCAGAGGAACTTCGGGACCCTAAAGTAGAAGAAAAGAGCTTAGAAGCTCAAAGAGAAAAGACAAAGTGCTTACAAAGGACCAACAGCCTGTTAACCATAACAATGAAATCTAGAAGATAATTAAATGCTATTTTAACAATAGTTTGAAGTGCTGGGGGAAATACAAGCATTAATTTAAGAATGAGAGAGATACAGAGATTGAGAAAGCTATAAGAAGGAATCTTGATCAAATCAGTTGAGAAACCTGGATACATTTAAACAAATATTCACTGTAGGAAACAACAGTCACAAAAATGACTAATTTGAGGAAGCTAAAATATAGAGATATTGATCAATGAAGACACTTAAGACAACACCTAGGGCAGAATTGGAGGGAAAACACTTGAAGGTCTTTTTATTATTTGGAATAAAAGATAAATTCTGGCTAACCTTAGACTTTATTAAATCAAGTGGGTTAAAACTTTAAGAGTAACCGATAGGGAAGGAAAATATGATGCATAACTTTGTACCAGTAGAAGAACAAAGGGGAAAAAGAAAATTTGATCAATTCAATGCAAGACACAAAGGAAAGAAAAAAGATGAAATAGCCAGGTAAATAGAACATTGGAAATAAAGGATTATATATAAATTTAAACCAACACTAGTCTCAACAAATGTAAATGAACTAAATTGCTGTTTAAAAGGTAAGGACTGCATTTCAGAAAAATCCACTGCCTGCTGATAACAAGAACTCAGACTCCTCTTAACCTCACAGACTCAGACCCTGACTCCAAGATACTTGTCATTTGTCATGAACATTTTTTTCTTTTTCAACATTTAAAGTGCTTTTTTCATCTTCCAACAGTCAGATCTGATTAGCTCATTTATACAGATGAGGAAATCAAGTCTGTGATAAATTGCATAATATCCCAGTTTCCTCAGCTAGAGTGTGATAGGATTTCAACCCAGGTCAAGAGGACTCCAAGTTTAATGGCCCTTTAAAGCCCTAAATCTGCACTCCCTTCTTCTTTACCTTGTTCAAATGTCTCCCTTGGGACCCTTATGGCTAACGATCATAATGGATGGGTCAGACCATCCATTAGAATTACTTCAGTAATGTCTGTACAGGCCACTAACCTGCTTAGTCCCATGCACTAGAACAACATTGTCTTAATTCTTGTCCTTTTATATTTTCACACTAGGTAAGACTCATTTTTCTTTTCAACTTTTTAAACTGTATTTTTACATTTATTTTCCCATGTTAACTTTAAAATGATTATGCCAAAATTTAAAGACACAGAACTCTCCTGGTATTTCATTCAATTCATTCAGTACTCACACTTTTAAGATAATTTCCCTCATTCAGTATTCTTAAATGACATTTATTCTCCACAGATTCTGCAATAACCTTCCCATCCCCACAGAGTTTCACTGAACTTGGGTTTTCTAAGTAATTAAATTGTATGTTCTTCAGATAATGCTACTGTGTCTATTCCTTTCTGGGGATTATACCTCTTATTACTGTTTATGTTTTTTTGCATTGGTCAGAACCTCCAAAACACTATCAAATAATAACGGTGACTTCAGTAGACCCTGCTGAATCACTTACCTCAATCTCCATTCTCTCCTTCCTCTTTGATTACAGAACCCTAACTTTTAGCTGAATACATTGCTTCTCAGCATTCTTTGCAGCTACATGGGACTGTGTGTCTGAATTCTCATCAGTGAGATGCCAGCATAAGTGTTGTGTGTAACTCCTTCACAATCCCTGTCTTCTGCTCCCTTCTATCTGCTGTTGACTGGAAAGGTTGATGTGATGGCTGGGACTCTGGCTGCCATTTTGGACCACTTGGTAGACAGAATAATGACCCTTAAAGACGTCCATGTCCTAATCCTTAGAACTTGTGAATTTGCTAGTTACATAGCAGAAAGACTTTTGCTGGTATGATTAAGTTAAAGATCTTGAGATGGGAAGATTATTCTGGCTTGTCAAGATGGATTTAATTGTAATCACCAGGGTCCTTATGAAGAAAAGAGGAAGGCAGGAGGGTCAGAATGAGAAAGAGCAGTGTGAAGATGGCAAGTTGGAATGATGCAACTATGATCCAAGTGCCTCTAGAAGCTGGAAGAGGCAAGAAAATGGGTTCTCACATAAAGGCTTCAGAGGGAATGTAGCCCTGCTGACACATTGCTTTGTGCCCAGTGAGACCTGCTAGGACTTTCGACCTCCAGAACTACAAGGTCATAAATTTGTGTTGATTTAAGCCTCTGAGTTTGCGGCAATTTGTTAAAGCAGCAATAAGAGACTCATGCAGACCTAAGGCTGGAAGGCAAGCACCAAGATACTGGAAAATATAGCAGAAATTTTGTTCCCTAATCCCAAGGGAGTTGCCCTGGATTGCCTACCTCCAGGTTTCTTTTGCCTGACAGAAAAATTCTTTTCTTGTATAAGACATTATTTTTCAGGTCTTTGTTAATTCACAAGAATAATACTTGATAGAGGGATAGAGACCACCTCATTTTAATCTTGATTTTAATGAGAATTACTCTAGTCTATCATCATAAAATATGATACAAGCATGTAAGTTAAACTGCTTATTCTTTATTGTGTTAAGAAAATGTCCTTATACTTTTAATTTTTAGTTTCTAAAATAAAGACTAATTTTTATTGAATGCTTTTGGAGTATCTACTAAAATATTGTACAGTATGCTTTTTCTTGTATGTATTTAATACTGATATACTTTATTTATAGATTTCAATTCTTGAGATAAATTCTACTGGGTTATGTCATAATATTTTTTTAATGTATAATTGAATCCTAACTACTGAGAAATGTAGACATTTATTCCAGACATCAATGTTGTTTTTGTTGTTTAGTCGATAAGTTGTGTCCAACTATTTTGTGACCCCATGGACTGTAGTCCACCAGATTCCCTGTCCAGGGTATTTCCCAGGCAAGAATACTGGAGTGGGTTGCCATTTCCTCCTCTGGGGATCTTCCCAACCGAGGAATCAAACTCGCTTTCCTGAATGGCAGGTGGATTCTTTAGCACTGTGCACCAGGGAAACCCCCCAGACATCGATATGATCAGCTAAAAAAATCTACTATAAAGAGGGGAGGAAAAGTGAATATATTTCTCTATATTATTGATCAGTCTATAGATTTTGCTTTGTGTACTTCAGATATCACCTAGGGTTATGTTAGCCTTGGGGTAGCTCTCTATTTTTCTATGTTTCCAGCAAGTGTATATATTCCTTGGAATTTTGTTCTTTGACAGTTTGGAAGAATTCATGCATAAGAACATCTGCGATGAAAGAATTTTTAAAATAATAACTTCGCCAGTTTCTTTCCTCTCCACTAGTCCACCCAGGTTTCCTTTTTCTTGAGTGGAGTCCTGAATTTGGGTATAAGCTTTATCACTGATTGCCTGTGTTTGTTCATGCATTCATTCACTCATTCCATTACCGCCTTTTAACACTAATGGGGCTTCCCAGTTGGCACTAATGGTAAAGAACCCACCTGCCAATGCAGGAGGTGTAAGAGAGGCAGGTTCAACCCCTGGGTCAGGAAGATCCCTGGAGGAGGGCATGGCAACCCACTCCGGGATTCTTGCTTGGAGAATCCCATGGACAGAGGAGCCTGTTGGGCTACGGTCCATGGGGTTGCAAAGAGTTGGACATAACTGAAGTGACTTCACACATGCACGCATGCACATGCTGAGTGCTAGAGATAGAATGATGGACAAAATAAAGAGAATCTCTGCCCTCAAGGCCCTCACAGTCTTCAGGGGGTGAGAGACCACAAACAGGCCAAGAAACAAGACAAGAAAATGCAAGTGAAGGCAGTTCCCTGGTGGTTCAGTAGTTAGGACTCTGTGCTTCCATTGCAGGGGGCCTGAGTTCCATCTCCGGTTGGGGGACTAAGATCCTGTAACCCACATAGTGAGGCCAAAAAACGAAGAAGAAAGAAAGAAATGCAAGTGGTTATTAAAAAGAAGGAACGAAAGAAAGAGAGAGAGAGAAAGGAAGGAAGGAAAGAAGAAAGAAAGAAGTTAAGAAGGGGCTGAGACTATGAATAGGGGAAGGCCTGTTTCTGGATGGGAGTTGAGGATAACCTCTTGGGCAAACACTGTGCCCAGATACCCTCAGATCCCATCAGCTCATCTGTGGCCCATCCTTGTGCATGGACACTGCTTCTCAGGGCTTCCACAAGCTTTGCTTAAGGAAGTGCCCTTGGGTTACTGGAGTGGAAAGGGCCTGGGTTTTACATCCGTCCCCCAGGGGACTTGGCCTCAGACTGTAAGAGTACAAAGCCAAACTCCTTGACTGGCGTCAAGGAAAACTCCAAGCTGTGATTTACTCTCCAGGGGCCCCTATGGGGTCAGGACTGAGATCACACACTTGCTCAGGGTCTCCCCTTTGCCTGGCCTGTATCCCCAGCTCCATTCAGTCTCCTTTCCCCACTCCAGCATTGCTTAATTAATCGCTCACCCATGCCTTCCCATCTCAGGGTTTGCTCTCTGTGAAACTGACCTATGACAGTCTCTGTGAGCAGATGATTCTGAAACCAAGACATAAGGTGTGAGAAGTAGCTGATCCCAGCGAGACAGCAGTGAGTGGTGGCCTGAATCGAGATCTTAATTCCCTGCCCAGGAATCGAACCTGGGTAGCCTGGATGAGATGGGTAGCCAGGAATCCTAGCCACCAGACCAGCAAGGGCTAGAGGCTAGAAGCAATTTTTCCCTGGATCTTTGCCCCCAGTGAGGAATGCATGCATCATGGAGGCAGAAACTAAATGCAGGTACAAAGTTTATTATTAGAGACACAGAGTAACAACAAGTGGGAGCGCACACAGAGAAATGGTTTCTCAGGTAAGACAGAAGCAAGGCAGAGACGCACACCTGGAGAGAAAGGGTATGGGTGTTGCCCCTAGTGAGGAGGAGCTCAGTAAAGGGGTGGTTGCGTCATTTACATGTCAGTTCTTCCAGGTCTTTTTTACTTTCAGGCCAATTTTCTTTTAGGCCTAAAGGTAGGCTGATTTCTTTTCCCACACCTGACCTACCTTGGGACCCTCTGCTAAGATGGATCTTGAAGTGAAGGCTTCTGGGAGGAGAAGCCTCATAATAATTAAGACTCATTATTGTTGCAGTGAAAAGGAAAAAAGAGGAATGAATTTTTTTTCTTTCCCTTTCCTGAGAACAAAGACAGCAAAGAGAACAGTGAGCAGGCCTGATCATTCCTAGTTTTTATTTTAACTGTTCCTAATCTGTAGTTTGTAACTAAGTTTGCCTTTCTGCCTCTTCACTCTGCACAAGCTACATTTTTCACCTATTGTCCTTTGACTCTATGTTAATTACAACCTGTATCTGGTGCTCACCTTTCACGCACTCTCTTTGCAGACCACCCCTTGTAGTTTTTCTCTTTTTGCTCTATAGAAAGAAGACCCCAGGGCTACCAAACTGCCCAACTCAACTACTGGGTTATCTGATGCCAGCCTTTGACTGTTTTTGAAACAATGCAAGAGGAATAAGAATACAAGACCCCTCATGGAAGTGGGGTACAGTTCTTGAGGCACAATCCTCTCCCCTCCATGGGCTGAGGATTAAAGCCACCTTTCTATTTCCTCCAAAGTCTGTACTTTTCTATTCAGCTTTAGGGAGCAGAGAATGCCAAGATTTTGGCCAACAACATTATGGCCTGGCGTCATTCCTTGACTTTCGACCTGCAAGGAGCGTCTCTGTGCCCGTGTAGCGTCGCCCTTGTCCCAAAAGAAGGGGGAGCAGAGATCTCTGATCTTTTACTCAAACAGGGTTTTGCCCCTCTTTGTCCTTGCCATGACTCTTACCTTGACTAATTACCATGACTATAAACCTTAAGGCGTTTACAAGAGACAAACACTGGCTACCTACTCTGTTTCTGTTGTCACGTCCATTTCAGAGGGCAAACAGGAAGCTGCTTGTAAATGCCTTAACTGGTGCCTACCTATCTCTTGTCTCAGGAAATGTTACAGTCATAGGTATCCAGCCTGAAGCCCACTTCTTCATGCCCCATGAAATGCAAATAGGAGACCAGTTTGTAACCTGCAACCCATCTATCTCCTGTCTTATAGTCAGTTAAGGAAAGAAACCAGAGAGGGTTGGGACGAGAAAGGCTGAATTGGGAGAGGGGGAAGGGACTGGCATGTGCAAAGGCCCTGAGGTATGAAGAGGCTTGCTAAATCTGAGGCTTGAAAATGAGATTTGTTTGAGAAATGGTGAGTAGGTGGGAGGGAAGACAGGGCAGCGTCCTGTACCAGCATCCTTAGATATTATCTTGTAGGTAGTGGGGGCCGAGGAAAAATTCTGAGCCAGGGAGAGGCAGGATGAGGGTGGTGTGCTATGCTGTGAACCTGAGAGCCAAACAGTGCATCAGAAGCGTAGAGGATATCAAGATTGGGGATAGAGAGATCATAGGGGCAAGTGGGGGTGGCAATGATTTTGGCACAAAGTTATGTGGGCCTTGGTGGCTGGGGGGAGGAGAGGGGAGAAAATTACAGAGAGTGATTAGGAGATAAAATGGAAGAGGCCCAGTAGCCTGAGTAGTATAATGGAAAAAATTGCAGTTGCAAAAAAAGATGCAGTTTTGCAGAAATGACTCCAATGAACAGGAAGTGAAGACTTGGGAATAAAGCACTCTTAGATTTGAACTCAAGTGGGGAGGTTCACCCCTTTGGGCAACAGTTTCAGCATCTGTGAGAGGAAGGTGTACCTGGGCCATGAGGATTGTTGGGAGGAATAGATGAGAAACATAGGATTCATCATGTTTCTGCTCTCTCATCCTTTCAAAATGGAAGGGCAGAACCAGAAAGACTTTCCTGGAGCTGCCTTTCAGCACCAACATTCTGTAGCTTTTATAATCTGACAAACCAGGAGCTGAGAGTACAAAAGCCATGTGTTTAAAGAAGTGTGCTTTCCAGGTAAGAAGAGCACAATTGCTGTCAAAGGCGTTAAGTGGTTTCTGAACAGCTGCAGTGTGATTAAATTCACCACTTAACCAAATTGCTTTCTCTTGCCTTGATGGATGCAATTGCTCGGAGATGAAGGGGCTTAATGTGCAAAGCTCCGCTTGCCTGCATGACTAATGAATTAACTGTTTCTCTTCCTGCAGCCTCCTGCCTGCTGACACCCAGCCTGTTTGCCTGACCCTAGCCGGTCCCCTGGACAGAGATCTCTGGTGTCGTAGATCACCACGAGGGTGGCCAGTAAGGTGTTCTCATTACGTGAAGTCTTGGCCCCCCAGTTAGCATGTTCTCCCCAGAGCTGACAGTGTTCAGGGAAGTCTTTCAGGAAAGAGACAGCAAGGTAGGGTAAGAAGAATACTTACGGTTGAGCTCTGGAGCCAGTTCCCCCACTTACTAGTGTGGGACCTCCAGCAAGTGACTTAATCATAGGGAGAGCTCCAAGTTCTTAGCATGTACATGCACCAAGAGCCTTGCTGGGTGCATTCCCACACTCTCATATTACACTTCTTTCTCACGGCTATCAGCAGCTCCAAAGGTAGATGGTCTGTTGATCTCCATCCAGTGTTAGTACAACAGCAGAGCCTCAGGAAATGATCTGTGTAAAATGATGGCTGTAAGAAACAATGAATAGTTGAGGAGATGTTTGGGTTCATGGCTTTCCTGGTGGTTAAGAAGGTAAAGAATCCACCTTCAATGCAGGAGATTCAGATTCTATCCTTTCGTTGGGAAGATCCCCTGGAGAAGGGAATGGCTAGCCACTCCAGTATTCTTGTCTGGAGAATTCTATGGACAGAGGAACCTGGTGGGCTACAGTCCCTGCGATCGCAAAGAGTCAGACATGACTGAACAGCTAACACTTTCACTTTTTTCACTTTGGGTGGATAGATGGATAAGTGAAGGGATGGAGGATAAACAGATCAGTGGAAAGATTAATGGATTTGACAGATGGTAAGAAGAAAGGATGAATGGGTGGAGAGTGAAAGGATGGATGGGTAGATGGATAGAAGGATACATGATGGTTGGTTAGAAGGATGAATGGAAGGAAGGAAGAATGAAAGGGTGGGTGGAAGAATGAAAGGATGGATGGAAGGAGAAAAGAACTGAAAGATGGATGGATGCCTGCAGACTGGTCCTCACAGGGAGGTACCAATCTGAGAGGTCGGTCCCCAGTTTTTTTGTCCAGAGACATTCAACATGTGTCTAGAAGTTACCAGGAGTCCTGAACTTCTCTCCCTGGAAAATAATGGGTTAGACTAGTTGATCTCTGAGGTCTTCATTTTAGTTCTTTCCCTTGTGACATTAATTCTTAAGAGAAGAAGGGAAATGATAATAGTCAACACAGTTTGAAAGCTCACTCAAAAACATCATTTCATATGAGCCTCAAACAACCCATAGCAACTTCAGGGCAGCTGTATTTTTATCTTCCCCATGTGACAGATGGAAACACTGAGGCTCAGAATAGTCACATCTGGTATTTAGAGTGTATTTTCTAGTCAGGTGGCCAAAATTATTAATTAACTTCTCTGTGCTTCTGCTTCCTCATTCAAAAAATAAGGCGAAGTGCATGGCAAGATTGAAGGCAAGAGGAGATGGAGACAATTGAGGATGAGATGGTTGGATGGCATCACTGACTCAATGGACTTAAGTTTGAGCAAACTCTGGGAGATAGTGAAGGACAGGGAAGCCCGATGTGCTGCAGTTCATGGGGTTGCAAAGAGTCAAACATGACTTAGCAACTGAACAACATCAATGGCAAAGATTCATAAAGTCATTTATTCATTCATACCTGCTTATAAGGAAACTTATAAGGAAACAGCTACCAGGCACTGTTGCTCTAGGCACCAAAGATGCAGCAGAGAACAAAAATTTTTCAACCTCTACCCTAATGGAGCTAGTATGCTAATGGAGAGAGAAAACAACATATGACGAAGGAGAGTAAGTTACCGAGGATTATAGAAACAAAAATGTTCGGAATCCCTGGAGTATTTAGAAGGCTTCACAGTGGAAGTTGTTGACCTTTGGGCTGGGTCTTAAAGAAAAAATAAGATTTTATCATGTAGACAAAGGAAAGGTAGCTTTGTAGACACACAGAGAGGAACTCCAGGCATAGAAGTGGGGAGGGCTTTTGGATTGGAGCCAGATTTGAAGGGCCTTGCATCCCTTCTTGGCAGACACAAGGAGCCCATGAAAGACCTTAGCAAGGGAGTGACAAGATAAGGCATAGCTTTCAGGAAGGGGGGCAGCCTGGAGGGTGGACTCAGGTGTGGAGAAGATGACATGGTCCCTGGCCAGGAGGGGGTTGAAGGCACAGGTATGAATGAGACCATCCAGAAGGGCATCAACCGCAAAGCTAAGAGGGACCCGAGGCAATGTCAGTCTGGAGAGAGCATGAGGCGGACGAGTGGTCAAAGGAGGGGGATCCTTTGCTACCCCCAGCCCTGGTCCCACTGGTCTCAGCCTGGGGTCCACACCCTGCCTCTCACTCCTCGGTGAGTCGGTTAAACCTTCTGCTTTTCCTGGAACCCAAGAAGCATCTGGCTTAGCCTCCATCACTGCAGAGACCCCCCCCCTCCCCAATCCCCCAGCATCCAGCTTCAGCCAGACCACCGGGAGACCAGAGAGGGGAACTCACTACCAGGAAGGGTCTCATCACCCTGGTGGGGTGCATCCATCTCCTTCCCCCTCCTGCTGGCCTGCCCCACCCAGGCCCTGCCCTTGCTAACCAAGGCATCTCAATCAACCCCCCTGGGCCTTTGAGGGTTCCTGAGCCCCAGGGTCAGAATTCTCCACTTTCAAAAAGAAATGAGATTCATTTTTTTATTTGCAGTTTGAAAAAGTCAAAAAGTGCTTGTCTTATTTTTTAAATCAGATAATCCAGAAAGATAGAAAGGAAATTTAAATTCTTTACAGTCCTATTCCCCGGAAAGTCACAGTTACCATCTTGCTGTGTATTCTTTCAGAATGTTTTCATTGATAGGCCCATGTGGACGCCCACACACACCTTTTTTTGTGTGTGTGAAACAATAACAGCAGTGCACCATACACTCTGTTCTGTGAACTGCTTGTTATTTTTCAGTTACATCGTGAAACTACTCAGCACACCTAGATCTCCAGCAGCGTTTTTTCTCAAGGGAAGAATATTCTGTGTTGAGAAAAGGCTTTGACGGAATCTCATCCCCTCTGACATATATTTAGGGTCACCGCCCCACCCCAAGACACTTTTCCTGTATAAGTAATGTTCTGTGTACATCCTTGTTCATAAAGCTTTGAGCAATAAAACGGGACTGTTCAAACTTAGGGGTTAATATGGCCTCTCTGACTCAGGTCAGGAAGGAAATTGATTTTGATTTTCAAAGTCGGTAGGGATTAAACGAACAATGGTTGCCAGGCAACCGGTGAGAGGGGGCCTCAGAGAGGAGGCCAGAGCAAACGGTAGCCTCCACCCCCACCCCCGGGGACCCAGAGCCTCTCAGGCTCTGTTTCTAGGTAATAAGCCCCCTCTCACGCTGCCCAGGGAATCCTTGGTGGCCCAGTGGTAAAGAATCCATCTGTTAATGCAGGAGACTCCAGAGATACGGATTTGATCTCTGAATTGAGACGATTTCCTGGAGAAGGAAATGACTACCCCCTCCAGCGTTCTTGCCTGGAACAATCCCATGGACAGAGGAGCCTGGTGCGCTACAGTCCATGGGGTCGCAAAAGTTGGATATGACTTAGTGACTAAACCACCACCCACCACCCACACTGCCTGGAGCCCCCAGCTCCAGCCATAGTCCCTTCCTCACCTTTCCCTCCTGTTGCCATGGTGTTAACCTTGGACCTGAAGCTATTATCAGGGTCCTCCTGGCTGTGGTTCTGGGGGAAGGGGTGGAGGAGCCACCTACAGGGGTGGGAGAGATGCTGCCACTTCCTTCTGGATGAGACTCACTCACGCAGGGTAAGGTGGGGCTGGTCTTTCTCTCCAGAATGGTAGGGGTGCTAGAAAGGTGGCCTAGTCACAGTCAACAGGTGGCCTGGTTCTGCACCCCTCAAGAGAAAGTTAGTCGCATAGTTGTGTTGAACTCTTCGATCCCATGGACTGTAGCCTGCCAGGCTCCTCTGTCCATGGAATTCTCCAGGCAAGAGTACTGGAGTGGGTCGCCATTTCCTTCTCCAGGGTACTCCCTGACCCAGGGATGGAACCTGGGTCTCCTGCATTGCAGGCAGATTCTTTACCTACTGAGCTATTAGGGAAGTACATACCCCTCAAAATGGCCCCTAATAATTCTCACCCACATGTGTAGACCTCCCTAGGCTGAATAAGCCAAACTGTACAAACCATAGGAGATTGCAAAAGGTACAGTGAATGGCTTCTGAGGCCAGGTCAAAATTAGAAGCCAGCTGCATGTCAGGAGGACATTCAAGCAGCTCTACGAGAAGCCTATGGAGTGAGGATCTGAGGCCTCCCACCAACGAGCGTGCATGTGTGGTAAGTCACGTTAGTCATGTCCGACCCTTTGCAACCCTGTGGACCGCAGCCCGTCAAGATCCCCTGTCCATGGGGATTTTCCAGGCAAAAATATTGGAGTGGGTTGCTGTGCCCTCCTTCAGGGGATCTCCCCAACCGAGGGGTTGAGCCCACATCTCTTGTGTCTCCTGCATTGGCAAGCGGGTTCTTTACCACTAGTGACACCTAGGAAGCTCCTCCTACCAACAGCTATCATCAATTTTCCATTTGTGTGAAGGAGCCACCTTGGAGCAGATCCTCCAGCTGTTGGATAAGTCTTCTGACCTGGTTGCCGTCTTGTCTGCAACCTCAAGAGAGACTCTGGGCCAGAACTATTCTGGGATTCCTAACCCTTAGACACTGTGAGACAATAAATGTTTATTATTGTTTGAAGCCACTACATGCTGAGCTAATTAGTTACACAGTAATAAATGACTAATAGTAGCAAATCAGTCAATCCTAAAGGAAATCAACCCTGAATATTCTTTGGAAGGACTAACGCTGAAGCTGAAGCTCCAATAATTTGGTCACCTGATGCAAAGAGCTGACTCATTGGAAAAGACCCTGATGCTGGGAGAGATAGAAGGCCAAAGGAGGCCGGGGCAACCGAGGATGAGCTGGTTAGAGAGTGTCACCGACTCAATGGACATGAACTTCAGCAAACTCCAGGAGATGGTGGAAGACAGAGGAGCCTGGAGTGCCACAGTTCATAGGGTTGCAAAGAGTTGGACATGACTTTGTGACTGAACAACAAAAATGCTAACAGAATTCCTTAGGGAAACCTGCTGTAGTCCAGGAACTGTGTCTGGGTGACCCTGGAAAATTCTCTAAAACAAAGTTTTCATGTCAGAATTCAAGAATGGCGGCCCAAGAGACACTAACCTTGGTAGATGTATTAGTGAAAATTCTTTCTGTTACAAAAGACAGAAACTTGGGACTTCCCTGGTGGTTCAGTGGGTAAGACTCTGTGTTCCTAATGCAGAGGTCCTGGGTTCAATCCCTGGCCAGGGAACTAGATCCCAAAAGATTCCACGTGCTGCTACTAAGAACCAACACAGTCACATAAATAAATAAATATTCTTTTAATATAGAAAATTAACTAATGAGTTTACGCAAATAGAAAATGTAAGTGAGGACTTATCATTAGATGGTGTGATTTGGAAGAACGGAGTCGAGTTAGCCGTAGGCATGGTGGGATTGGGGTTTACATACGTCCAGGCTCCCGAAAGTACAAGGGCGTGAGTGGAGAGTGGGCCGATGGTCAGGGAACCAGAATCTCCAGTCAGCATCCTCTGGACTCTGGAAAGGATGGCACCTTGGTGTCAGAGGTGCCTCTCTAAGGTCAGGAGAGCGGAGGGCTCCAACATACCTGTAGGCCGTCCCCACCTGTTCCTTAAATCTCCATGTTCTCAAGCTTCCGCTCTCCACCCTCCCGGCCTCACTCCACCTCTCCCCCTCAGTATCAGTACCTCCTGTGTCCAGCACCTCTGGACATCCCCACCCAGCCCAGGGCCACTGGCCCTCACCCTTGCCACGGCCAACACTGCCCTCATTTACCCCAAGCCTTCTGGATTGCAGCAACAGGCAGCACCGTCCACCTGGCCATCTGAGTCTGAATCCTCACTTCTTCCCCACCTCCTCCCTCTGCCTCCATCCCCACCCACCCGGATCTGTCCACACTCTGTCCCTCTGCCTCCATCCTGCTCCAAGCCATCACTTCTCTCCTGGATTACTGGAACCATCTCCAACTGGTCTCCCCGCTGCCAGTCTTACCTCCCTGCCTCTCCCCTGTCCCTGCCACACAACACTCTGCCACCTCCTACTTCTACCTCCATCACTTGGCCGGAGCTATGCACTCCACCTGAAATTTATTCATTTATTTTGGGCTGTGCTGGGTCTTCATTGCTACATGGGCTTTTCTCTAGTTGCATCAAGCGTGGGCTGCTCTCTAGTTGTGATGTGTGGGCTTCTCATTGCGGTGGCTTTTCTTGTTGTAGAACATGGGCTCTAGGGTACTCAGGCTTCAGTAGTTGTGACTTCTGGGCTTGAGAGCTTAGGCTTAAATAGTTGTGGCATGCATGGGCTTAGTTGCTCCATGGCATGTGGGATCCTCCCAGACCAGGGATTGAATCTGTGTCTCCTGCATTGGCCGGGCTTCCTGGTGGTGCTAGTGGTAAAGAACCTGCCTGCCAGTGCAGGAGACACAGAAGATGTGGGTTCGATCCCTGGGTCAGGAAGATCCCCTGGAGATGGGAATAGCAACCCACTCCAGTATTCTTGCCTGGAGAATCCCACATAGAAGCCTGGCCAGCTACAGTCCAGTGGATCACAAAGAGTCAGCCGTGACTGAAGCAACTTAGCACACTCCCGCATTGGCAGGCAGATTCTTTACCACTGAGCCACTAGGGAAGCCTCTATTTATTTTTAAATATTTTTTATCTATTTGGTTGCATCAGGTCTTAGTTGTGGCATGTGGGATCTTTAGTTGTGGCATTCAAATTCTTGGTGGCAGCATGTGAGATCTAGTTCCCTGAACAGGGTTAGAACCCGGGCCCACTGAATTGAGAACTTGGAGTCTTAGCTGCTGGACCACCAAAGAAATCCCTCCACCTGAAATTTAATTCCCCACTCTCATCTCTCAACTGCACTTCCCTTTATTCTTTAGATCTCTGCTCTGGAGTCCCCTCCTCCAAGAAGTCCTCCTGGATACCCATAGCTCATCATTCCCTCCTAGGTGCTGTTGCTGAACCTACCACAGGCTGGTTTGTAGAGTAGTTATGAACGCAGTGTCCTGAGTCAGAAATGGGATGTTAGCCCCACTACTCAGCAGCTGTAGGACAGTCTGGGCAGGGACAGAGTAGGGCTGGCAGCCAGGGGAAGCCCTGGTGATGGGAAAAGATGGCATTACCCACTTTAGGCAACCGAGAGGGAGAGAAGTGCAGGCAGAATGTGGGTGGAGAGTAAGCCCGGCCCAGAGTGGAGGCGTGGGGAACGGAACTGATATTTGTGGGGCATCTGCCTGTGCCAGGCACCGGGCTACACTGTTTACATTACCTCCCTTAATCTTTGCGATAGGAGATGAGTATTATTACGCACATTGTTTACATTTAGAAAGTGAAGCTCAGAAAGTTTTTGACTTGATGGAGAAAGAATCCAAACTCCACGTCTGTTGAACTCCAAAAGCTTTCAGCTCTGACACACAAAGTCTGTAGACCCAGCTGAAGGGTCCTGGGTTTCTCAGGAGGGGAGCGAAGTGAGAATTTAATCAGCCTGGCCCACTGTGAGATATCCCCTCCCCTGTGTCTGGTGATAGGCTTCTAGTAATACTACCCAAGATGGTCTTGACTTTGAGGTTTCCTCTTCCCAGCTGTGGGATCAATTCAATCCCACTTACCTCTAGGTCAGAACAGGACAGCCTTCCCCATCCAGAACCTAGTCTTCATATCATACTTTGAAGTTATCTTGTAATTGCAACATTAAGCCCCAATTTATCCTGCCATCCCCCACCACCTCCAGCTGCTGCAACATAAGCATTGTCATGGCCAACAGCTCATAGCTCCTGGTGTTGAGTGAAAGGGTGTGACATGGGGTGGGGTGTACTCTTCCCTTTCTGGGGATAATTTCCCTCTGTTTCTCTGCTCAGCTCAACAGCCAGCCACCTTTAGCCTCCCCAGCTAATTAACCCTGCACTTTTCATCAGCCCTGATTAGATTCATCTAAGCCAGTCCAAGCAACAGGAAGTCTGGCTTGGACCCCAGCTGAGAGGAAGTGGCTGACTCAAGGGGGTGCAGGGCAGAGGAAGAAGGGACTCAGAGTTATCAGCAGCCGGGGAGGCAGAGAGAAATCAATGGACTCCCTAGGAAGCCACATGGGACAAATTTAATCATTTAATAAATATTTAGCACCTACCGTGTACCACCTCTGTTCTTGACATGACAGCAAACAAGACACATGAGGTCCCCACCTGTCCTCATGGAGCTGACAGTCTAGATAAACAAGTAGAAAACATTTTTTGGTGCTGATAATTGCTATGATGAAAAATAATGTCTGAGCCGCCTTCCTGTTAAAGTCTCACGGAGCTTTGAAGCCTGCTCTCACCCCCTCTCTGACTTCTCCTGCAGGCAAAAGCCCTGAACCTTCCCTTTTCACTTCTCTTGACCACGGCCCGTCACCTGCTTAGCATGGTGCTGACTCTTTGTTATTATTCTTTTATAGAAAAGGAAGCTGAGCTGCACAGTGAGACAGTGATGGAGCTGGGATTAGGGACCAGATCTCCAGGCCACCCCCAGTTCCATGTGCTTCACCCTGCCTGCAGAGAGGAGCTAAAGCTAACAGGTGAAGGGGAGGCTCTGTGTTTGGCTGACGCAGCAGGAACCACGCAAGTATCTGGTGGTTCACACACCCTGGACACACAGGTCATGTCCACAGGAAGTGTCCTTATTGTACTGTTCTCATGGGGACCTGAGGGTGACTGGGAGTCAGGGATGTGGGCCCCAGAATTTCACATTTGTACCGAGTTGGGTGGAATAGGTGAATTCAGGTGTCTTCAGGTCAAATGTCCTCATCTTGAAGAAGTCACAGATCCTCCAGCCTGCATTTATCAAACTGCTATCAGTGATCTGCGCTAATGTGAAAGCCTCCAAATACAAAACAGACACCAGAGGAGATGCTTTGTTCAAAACATGGCCACTGTCCACCAACCCAGACCCACGATACTTCTGTGCAGCCAGGGCCTCAATAGAGTACAGTTTTTGAACCACTGAGCTCATCCAAACTCTTCTTTGGAGAAACGGATAACTCGAGGCCAGACAGTGGACTAGGGACAGAACCTTTAAGGAGATCACTTGAGATTGGCCCCAAGGGATAGGATGGGAATGGCTTCCCTTTTGGCCACACTGCCCTGCTTCTAAACATAGGGAAGTGAGTAGAGGCCTCTATCAGGGACAAGAGTTACCTGGATGAGAAGAAACGCCTGGGTTTCAGGCTCCCAGGCCAATTCACTTTGGGTTTGGTTTGTGTACCTGTCAGGATGAACCAGGTTATGCTGCAGTAACAAGCATCCCCCAAACTCTGCTCAAAACATCAAAAGTTTATTTCTCTGTAATACACAGAAATCCACTGCCAGTCTGGGCAAATCTGGGGTTACTATCCCCTGTGAAGTGACTCAGCAATCAAGCTGCTTTAATCTTTGGGCGCTTCCTTCTCAACACTTGACTGCAGGATTGGTGGGGGCAGGGAAGAAAATAGGGAGACTGGCCCTGAACTACTTTCATTCAGAAGTAAAACCTATCACTTCTGCTCACATTGCATCAGCCAAAGAAAGTCACATGGTCACACAATTCAAGAGGGGAGACTGGGATCACAGGAGGATGATAGTGTACATCCAGAAATGGTTGGTGAGCCCTAAACCTGCCAACCACTGTTTCCAGATCAGCAAAATAGGCAAAATAATATCTACCATCATTCCTTTACTCATTCATACATCTATGTGTTCAATCCACTGACTTTTATTGTGCAAAGTGCTGGTGAAACAGAGACAAGAGTGGAACTCGGGTCTCCTGGCTCCTAAGCCAGGGCTTCACCCTCCTCCTACTCATACTCTCTGCCAGCCTGGCTCATATTTTGGTCTCAGTTTGTCTCCTCCCTAAAGCAGAGCCTGAGAAAAAGGTTTGGGAAGAGGAAATTTACTTGAGAAGTGAGCCTGGGAGGCTATAGTGAGGGAGTGAGAGAGAGAGACAAGGCAGGAGGGATGCCAACATGTGTGCATGTGACAGCCAGTCATCGGCGTGGGCTCCGTCCCACCAGCGATTCTCTGAGGGCCTGTGTAAAGTGCGCCTCGGAACAGTCCTGAGTTGGGGGAGGCTGGGGCTTGGTCCCACTGATTGCCATTCCCCCCAAGAGAGGGAGGGCTGTTTCTGGGGAAGTGAACCCCAAATTCACTGGGGACAGTGCTGCTGCTGTGGTCTGATCGGGGCTGCAGGAACAAGGTTCAAGGCACCAATAGCAAGCACTATAGATGCTGACGGAAAAGCCATGCCTATCACGAAGCCATATGGAAACCCAACACAAACAGCCCAGCATTGGCCAAACAATGGGGGAGAGCACAGCTCGGGCCAGCTGCTGAGATATTTTCTTCTAACCTCCTTTCCCAATTTGGAAGGAGGTAACTCCTCCACATGAAAACAACCAGGAGAAACAGCAGCACGTGATGCCAACTGGCTCGGGCACAGGGACAAGACGGCGGCAGCTACAGGTGCCCTGGGCTAGGTTTCAGGCTGGCTTGACACAGCCTGTCCAGAAGTCAGGAAGATCTGAATAGGACACACAAGGACTGAGAAACAGGTCTATTAGCGCACCTCCTGTGGTCAGCGTGTCTGGGAGTCAGAAGACACCACCCCTGTGTTTGAAGCCTCCAGCTTCTTCGAGAGCCTTCTATGGTGAGAGTCTGTGTGGTCCAGGCAAAAGAGTTCCAGCCTTGGGAGCAGATGCTCTAGGTTCAAGTCTTGAGACCACCATAAACCACACACTCACCAAGATGGATGGAGAGATCAGAAGATTGCGTGTGAAGCACACAGTTGGGAACAACAATGGGAGTTGCCATTGGTCCTTGCCAGAAGAAGGCTCAGCCTCCACTCTACAGAGGAGGCGCCTGAGATCAGAGGCAAGTCCCAGGTCTTGTCCTTCAGAGCAGGCACCCCTGAATCCCTCTGAATTCAAAGTTCCTCTGATCCTGTGGTTCTGGAACAAACTCAAAGGCAGCTCTCTGGGTGGGGACATCACAGAAAGACCCCTGCACTGGCAGCATGACCCCAGGGTAAGGTTGGGCAGGCGTGGTGATCACATGACCAGGCCGTGTTCCTGGAAAAGTGCAGAAGACTCAGGGGTCTCAGAAAGAGCCAGGGAGTGAAGGTCAGAGCCACGGAGGGCACAAGGAGTCTTGTTCTTGGGCTGGTTTTGGTTTTCCCATCAAGGTGGTCTTTGGGGTCCATGGGAGTCCATGATCGTATTGTTGACGAGGTCTGAGGTCAGTAGGGCAGGAGAGTCAGGGGAGGCTCCAAGGGGAGCTGACCTTTGGATTTGATGGGTAGGGGGAGGGAAGACATCATTGTGCCCAGGGCTCCAGAGAAATTAGAGGAAATGGAAAGAGCCCAGGCCCACTTCAGCAGTGCGGACCTGCCAGCTCTGTCCTCTCACTTCCACCACATCTGGATTTCGAGAAGCGGGCTTTCCTGGCATGCCATCCTGCTCACATCCTATGACCCTCTCACCCAGCTCAGTGCCCACCTTCCATACAAAGTGTAGGAGGGAAGGGGCATGCTGTGTGGCGGGACAAGGCTGGCGGAGAAAGGAACCACAGGTCCACGCTGAATGTTTCTCAGAGACCTCCACCTGTCCTGGGGCTGCGGGGCGGGTCCCCCAAACCCACATACCTCAATCCTGAGCATCTAATCCTGTGCTTTGGAGCCAGCCAGCAGGCCCCAGGTCTATGGACCCATGCTTGTTTTTGTGGTTGCTGTTGCTTAGTCACTTCAGTCGTGTCCAACTCTGTGCAATCCTATGGACTGTAGCCCACCAGGCTCCTCTGTCCATGGGATTTTCCAGGCAAGAATACTGGAGTGGGTTTCCATTTCCTTCTCCAGGGGATCTTCCCGACCCAGGGATTGAAACCACGTCTCCTGCATTGCACGCAGATTCTTTACCACTGAGCCACCAGGCAATGTTTTTGTGGAGCCTTATACAAAAGGCATAAAGTTGTGAAAGACTGATGCTGGAGTCAGGGACCAGGGAAAGGAAGCGGTGACCTTCCCTGGGGAAGGGTCTTAACTCTCAGATAAGGTTGTATTTGGATGAGCCAGAGATCCAGTGATGACTCACAGCTGTCCAATACGACCCCTAAAAATCCTCATAGGCCACAAAATCCTCATCCTTTCTCTGTCTTCTTTTCCTCATCCTGTACAGAGAATAATGACGGTACCTTTCTCAAAAGGCTGTTGTGGGATGAATGAATGAATACATGTGACATACTTAGAACAGCGTTTGGCATGTAATAAATTCTCAATGGATGTTAGTTGTTTTTTGATGGTTGTTATGATGATGATTAATAACGCATTCATTCAAGTCCAGAGCCTTATAGGTATTTGGTTTGTGTTGGATGAATGATTGAAATAAATGTAAGTGGATAAAATGTTAGCAGCAAATGACATCAAAGATTGAAACAGACACTGATTTGGTCTGATTACTTATTATGATCTGGTATCCATGGAAACTGCTGAATAGTGAGGCTCAGAATAGAGGGTTTTCCTCTGTACTGAATACACCAAGGGACACGTGTGGCTTCTGCACTTTGCAAGCCACAAAAGGGGCAGATTGCTTACCCACCTTACTCATCTCTCTCCTTGCCAAACAGTAAACTCCTCCACGGCAAGGACCAACTCATGGGCACTCCAAAACCAAGTGCTGACATGGTTACTGGAACACAGTACATGCTTATGAATTTATGTTAAATGAATGAATGAATGTTACCTGATTAAGTCAGAAAATGACAGGACTAAACCTTGAACAAAGGATTTCAGACCTGGCCCTAGAAGGAACTGGGAAAGGTAGGGGTTAATTATCACCCCTTGAATTGTATTAGATTAGATGTTAGAATGATTCCGGTTACTGAAATTGGGGTAGGCTGTGTCTGAGTTCAATTCCAAAGTGGTAAAGAGCTTGGACTTTGGAGTCCATCAAATCTAGGAGGAAATACTGTCTTGGCCATGCCCTAGTTTTGTAAAACTTAAGGAAGTTATTTAATTTCTCTGGGACTCAGTTTCACTATCTATAAACTAGGCTTGAAGATACTTGCTTCTCAAGGATACTGTGCAAAGCCATTGGTCCCCTTGGGAAGGAATTGTATCTTTTTTTCCTCCCCTTTAAATTATTTTATTCAATATAAATTATGTCAGTAGTATAAGTGGTTAAAAGAAGCAAGCTTTGAGTGAATTGGCCAATTTGCCCAATAGGCTATTTGGCAAAATGATTCTTAGCAAGTTGGTTTTTGGCAAAGCAGACCTGGTGTTCTCACACCCCTATGACCATCTCTGCCAGGGGTGGGGGTGATGACCCTTGATTAAGGATTCCGTGAAGGAGAGAGCAAATCTGCTTTCTCAAGGGATTTGGAACCACTTGTGGTGTGTGTGATGGCAGAATTCTTTGCAGAGTGTAGTGCACAGGTGAGGACTGTAAGGATGGCTGGAGTAGCAGAGAGAACCCAAGGCTGAAGCCCGGCTGAAGCAAGTTTCCCAGCAACAGCGACAGGATTCAGCAAAGGAAAGACCCAGAACCCCAGGGGGAGCTTCATCTGCAAGGCCATGAACTCAGGAGTCAGACAGCCTGGGTTCAAGGCCTGCCTCTGCCTCTCTCTACCGTCTGAGATCTTGGCAGTGACTTCACCTCGCAAGGCCCCAGGACCCTTCCCTGGTTGATGAGGTGGTGTGACAGCGAGCACTGGGTGGGGTTGGGGTTGGGACAAGCCTGTGAAGCGCCCAGTCCACCCGGCCCTGGGGCTTAGCAGCACCCAGCAAATGTGGCTCCCCCTTGCCCAGTTCTCCACAACCTCTCCTGCTCCCACCTGGTCTCGGGGGGCAGTGAGTCCTCCTGCCTCAGCAGGTCCAGTCTTGGTTTGCAGAGTGTGCGGAGAGAACACACCAGAAGGACAGCAAGGGAAGGGGGAGCAGGGTGACCCCCCTTACCGGGGAGGTTGTTATCGCGGGAGGCAGCAGCTAAAGTGACCTCCATTTCACAGGGCGGGTCACGGAGGCCCTATCGGCACTGGGCTTCACATCGAGGCCCGTTCATGCTCAAAACCGGTTCTCGTTCAGTTCAACCAGGATCCCTCTTTGGTTCTGCCTCCAAATGCAGTGTGGGTCCCCCTGGGCCTGGAGGAGAACACACAGACAGAAATCAAGTGGGTGCTCGGCCCAGCCTGGTACCCCCCTCCCCACCCCCACCCTGACTCATCCCCGGTTCCTTCCACCCCCCGACAATGACCTCTTGCCCTGGGGTGCTCTCCTGTCAGCCTCTCCAGGACACTGGGACAGGGGCAGGAATCACCAGCTTGGCCTGTGTCTTCTCAGCCACAGATAACAGCGACATTAGGTAATTGCATTTGGCCCTTATCTCCGTCTCACCCTTTATTACTTCCCCAGGGAGGTGCTGTAACCATGGTCTCTCTGCCAATTAAGCCAGTCTCCAGGCTGCAAGTACAAGCCGAGGGACATCTTCAGGTGGCAGGGACACCCTGTCCCTCGGCTCAGGACGTGCTGACAGGCCCTGGGTGACTCCTGGGAGCATGGCCAGAGCCCTGCCGAAGAAGTGCTGGATCCAGAGGAGGAAGTGTGGATCATGCCGTGGGTTCTGCCCTAGGCTTTGCTATGTGACTTCAAGCACAGCACTTAACCTCTCTGAGTTCTAGGTTTTCCATGGGTCGGATGGGGACAATAGCTCTTTCCTGCATAATAATCAAGCCATCTTGGAACTGGAAGACATCATGTATTCCATGTATTCTCGGTGTGTTCCGGATTCTTGTGGCAGCTTCTTTCTTTAAAACAGCTTTATTGATGTGCATATTTAAACCATACGATTTGGTAAGTTTTGACATGTGTGTACCCCCAGGAAGCCATCACTGTAGCAAGATAATGAACACATACATTCCCTCCCCGCATCTCCTCTCGGCCCTTTGTGACCCCTCCTTCCCCACACCCCCACCTCCACATCCCCGGCAACCCACCACTCATCTGCCTCTTATCACTAGAGATTCATTTGCATGTCCTAGAATTTTATAGAAACGGAATTATACACTATGTACTTTTTCTGGTCTGGCTTCTATTTTGAGATTCATCCATATTGTGTATTTCAACAGTTCATTTCTTTTTATTGCTAAGTCATACCCCATTAATGGATCTGCTACGACGCTTTTGTTCATTTATCTGTTGATAGATACTTGAGTTGTTTCCAATTTGGGGCGATTACAAATAGAGCTGCTATGAATATTCATGTACGAGTGTTGGATGCTTTCGTTCCTTTTGGGTAAATACCTAAGAGTGGAATGGCTAGTCATATGGTAGGTGTTTGTTTAATTTTTCAAGAAATGACAAATTGTTTTCCAAAGCCGTTGTACCATTTTACATTCCTGACAGCAGTGTATGAGTTCAAGTTCTTCTACATCTTCACAAACACTTGGCGCAATCAGTCTTTTTAATTTTAATTTAATCCAGGAGGCGTGTGCGGGTATCTTATTGCAGTGCTGCTCCCAGAGAAACACCCGGGTGCTCAGGCCCCCTGCCCAAGGCCAAGTTCTCTTTCTTAGTTAGGAGGTGAGGCATGGCATGGAGACCCTGGGAGTTCTCTGTATCTTTCGTTCTTCCCTTCTGCTAGTGGAAAGGCTGTGGGGGATATTAGGTGACCTCCCAAGTACCTTGGGATCCTGGAAAAATGCATTTAAGACCAAGCTCTCATCTTTGATAAAAGTTCTCTGGCCTCTCAGTATCATTGCCCTGTGTCCAGTTGGGCATTTATTATTTATTGGCATTCAATGCCTCAGGAATAAGATCTCTTGCTGGGATTCCAGGTTGAGGTGGTGGAGTAGCTTGAACCACCTGGCCTGGAGCCAAGAGGTCTGGGTTTGGGGTGGGCTTGTGGCTTCTTCAGAGCACCCTCGTCATGGGTATGACAGCAGCTGAAGGCCTCTGACACTCTCCAAGCGGGGAGGCTCCCTGGTTTGAGGCCAAGTCAGTAGGCTTTTGCCCCTGAAACCTGTCCAGGTACAGATCTTCTCCAGAAGAGCTGGCATGCGTGGAACAAAATTCATTGTTTACATTTTGGCACAAATGCTTCTCACCAAGAGCATTCCACTGGAAAGAAAGCTGAGATGTGGTTAAAGTCACCTGGAAATAAGCGTCGAAGAATGGGAGGTTTCAGATGTCCTCCTAAGATGCAGTGGGACATAGAAAACAGACTTGTGGACACAGAGGGGGAAGAAAAGGGTGGGATGAATTGAGAGAGTAGCATGGAAACATATACATCACCCTACGTCAAATTAGATAGCTGGGAGGAATCTGCTATATGACTCAGGGGACACAAACCAGGGCTCTGTGACAACCTAGAGGGGTGGGATGGGGTGGGAGGTGGGAGGGAGTTTCAGGGAGGAGGGGGCATATGTGTATCTATGACTGATTTGTGCTGATGTATGGCAGAAACCAACTCAATATTGTAAAGCAATTATCCTCCAATTAAAAATAAATAAATGTAAAAAATATGATAGAGTGGGTATCACAGACTGAACCCTCCCATTATTCTTAGCAATCGGAAGTGAGGCCACCTACAAAAAAACTGTCTTGAGTTTCATGTGGGAAATGTCCTAGATTTTCTTGGTTATTTTAAAGAGCTTGGGAGGAAGGATTCATGGAGACATGGGAGACATAGCCAGTGACTCAGGAGCCACCATTTCAGCAAAGAAAGAGATTGCTCAGAAAATCAAGCCCAAAGCCCTCTACTCATCATTTCAACCAT